GGGGGGGGTTGAGAATCACCCAAGGGTGACGGAAGCACGTATCAAGTCCCACCTCACATCGATACTGGTGCCTCTCGAAATCGATCAAAATTCCATTTTCCATTCTGGAATTCATTTGATTCTAGTGTGAAATATCTGAACTTGCTTTTTATTCTGTCCAGCCACTCTCAAACCTCCATTTCTCTCAATTTTTTTTTTCAACAATATTTTTTTTTCTCCTCCTTTCTGTTCTTTTTGCATCAATAATGCTATCCCCGGCAATCGGATTTCAGGATTTATTCTTTATAAGAGTTTTAGTGCCTCGTGCAATTGGCAGTTAAGGGGGGGAATTCAATTTCAGGTGGAAATTGGGTCAATGAATGGGGATCGAGATGTTTGGGACATTTCAGGGGGATAATTCGGGGATAATTGTAGGTTTTTAATTAATTATTTTTTGTTGGATTTTTATGCGACGTTACAGGGAAAACGACGACCCATTTTGCCGCAGTATTTTTTCAAATATTCGTGGTTTATAAATGGATTATTAATAATTATTTTTAGTAAACATATTACCAATTATTTTATTATTGCTGTTTATTTTTTATTGTTCATTATTGATAATTTTTTTTTTTGATATTCGGTGTTTATAAATAAATAATTGAAGTTGTTTAAACTTTCGGAAAATTCTAAATGTGAATAAATTTGTGAAAATAATAAATATTGTTTTCATGTTTTTATAAAAAAACTCATTTTGTACTATTTTATGTTCCAGGCTTCACCTGACGGCATTGAAAAATCGAAGAGAAGTCCCAGGAGTAGTCATGTCAGCTCAAAAAGTAACAGCACTACTAGCTACCCTCCTCCAGCTGTGTCTGAGTAAGTCGTGAATATGTAATGGAATTCTGCAGTGGACTAGTAAAACCTGATAGATCAATCTCACTTTTGTGCAAATTTTTTATGAACATCTCAAAGATTTATTAGAGATGGCAATTTTATTTTTAGAATTGTTTATATCTCCTAAAATTCTTAGCAACAAAACATCTTAACGAAAGATTTCGTCATCGTTGTACTGGATTCCGAAATATTTATGAAAAAACATTGATCCAGTACTGAAGAAGCAAAAAGAGCAGAATAAATCCCATTTTTTTAAAAAAGGAAAAGAAAACTAAATGTCACTCTATCAATTTTTCAAAAATATCTAAGAATCTAAAGGAGATGCTAAAATTTTTGTTAATACATATTTTCTAGCTCTTGAAATTCTCCAAAATAAATGTCTTGGTAAAAATTTCACAATCTCCACTATATTCCGAGATATTTATAACCAAAAATATCTGAAACTGAAAAACCCCAAAAAATAAAATCCACGAATTTTTCTGAAATAATATTTTCCGCATAATTTCAAAACTTGTTTCAGAACCTTGAAATTTCCATGAAAAAAATCTTTCCAACTCTGAATAGTCTATTAAAAAAATTACCTCCTCAATTTCGCGAAACATTAAAAAAACTCTTTTCCAGCTAAAAAACCTCCTGAATTTTTCATTAAACAACCCCAAATAATAAATCCCCTTGCAACTAACGAATCCCCCTCCCTAAAATTAAACTGATAACTCCCTTATCCGTCGGACGAAATAATCCATAATTGAACTAACGTGTCAGATAATTCCGTATACGAAATTGCTTTTTAACGGCACCTATCACTCCAAACAACAGAATTTACCTCTCGGTGATTCATTGTAGCATGCATCCACGAAAGTGGTGCACATACACTTACTCCCCCCCCCCCCCCCCC